TGTTAGGTTGAGGGTTAGATGTTAGGTTGGGGGTTAGAGTTATGGCTAAGGCTTCGGGTTAGATGTTAGGTTGAGGGTTAGAGTTATGGCTAGGGCTTAGGGTTAGATGTTAGGTTGGGGGTTAGAGTTATGGCTAAGGCTTCGGGTTAGATGTTAGGTTGAGGGTTAGAGTTATGGCTAGGGCTTAGCGTTAGATGTTAGGTTGAGGAATAGATGTTAGGTTGAAGGCTAGAGTTATGGCTAGGGCTTAGGGTTAGATGTTAGGTTGAGGGTTAGATGTTAGGTTGGGGGTTAGAGTTATGGCTAAGGCTTCGGGTTAGATGTTAGGTGGTTGAGGGTGGGTGTGAAGATTTAGAGTTCGGGTAAATAACTTAGTAGATAAGAGTTAGTGTTGGGGGTTGGACAGAAGATTTAGCTCAAAGTTAGATGAATGGAGAGTGGGCAGCTATGGTGGAAGGCTTAGAATGAACATTTCTAGTTTCTATTTTAATTCCCATCCGGTTCCTTCTCCTTTTTTGTGGCCTTCCCCCAGTTGAGGAATTTCAAATGAATGAGGCCCCAGCTGTGTTCCGTTGGGTAACCATTGTGTCACTGTGCAGATGGATACTTCATAGCATGATTCATGAACCTTTCTCCTGGATACCGTGTTGCAGAGCCAGATTCTTTTTCATTTGTGTCTCACACACTCCCCCTCCTAGACACTGCAGTTCACAGTGGGAGGGTTTCAGCAGCACTGGCAGTGTTGTCATTCCAGAAAGCAGTGGGCGGGGCTGGGTGTGGCCAGGTGCTGATTCATCTCACTGTAGTGCCAGCAGGCAGGCAGCCTAAATGGGGGTGACAACTCTGTTTTGAACAGTGCAACATTGTAACCCCATTACAGGAAGCTGAATTAGGTGGACTTCACTAGCACAAACAACAGGTATTTGTGGGACTTTGCAGAGGGACTAAGACAAAACTGTCATTGAAGATGCGCATAATATTAAGTGCTACAGAACATATTTTTATTCTATTGGTTCTACTTTAATCTGAGTATGTAACTATTTTCTGTATCTGATGTTTCACAGCACCGCCTCCACCTCCAGCTCTGATTTCTGTGTGTCCGGCCTTCGATTCTTCTGTCTGTCCTTACTCCAAACCCGGTCGTCCCGAGTGTCAAAATGACAGCCAGTGTCCCACATCCAAGAAATGTTGTTGCTTCGGTAACTGCGGAGTGTTGTGCGTGCCCCCGGAGAAAGGTAAGGCCCTGAGCGCCCTGTGATAGCATTGCCCTATAGAGCCATCACTGACCATTGCCTCTGTCCTCTGTCTGCAGTCAGAGCCGGCCGCTGCCCGGACATAAAAGCAAAGTGCCGTCCAGAGCCCACCGATAACTGTACCACAGACAGTGACTGCCCTGGAAGTCAGAAGTGCTGCAAAATATGCGGGAGGACCTGCTGGAACCCGGAGCCAGGTACCACCTATTGCATAAACTGTGGTTCAATATAATACATGATCAAGGATTCCCAGAGCACTTTGGCTTATCTTCTCCTTACGAGTCATTTGCTGACAGTTTTCAATGTTCTTTCTGCAGAGCTGAAGGGGACTTGTCCCAAGAATGATGGAGCTCAGTCCGACTCCCTCCAATGTAGTTCTGTAAAGTGCAGCCGGAACTCAGACTGCAAGACGCGGGAGAAATGCTGCCCCTCCGGAGACGGACAATCATGTGTGAACGCCCAAACAGGTGACAAAGAGGGTTCCAAATATGAAAGTTTAGGCTCAGTTTCTAATCTAGAACATGTGTGTTATTTTTGGTCATGAACACTACTTTCAGACAAGATGCTCTTATTTTCAGCTCTCATTGGCTCTCACAGCTGACAACATTGTCTGAGGACATCTAGTGGTAGGAAAAAGTAGTGCGATGGAAATCTCTGGACGGAGGAGGAATATTGCAGAAAAAGCTGGATTTGTTATGTTATCTTTTAATGAACTATTCATTGTTACCTTGTTATTTTTGTCTGAAGTTCTGGAAGCTTTAACGACCCTCATAGCTTAGTGGACTGGTTCAGCTCCGCCCAACATTCATTGTTCAGTTTTGGGTTGTAGCATCTATCATCTCATTCTAATTCAGTGAAATATCCTAAGCCCATAAGGATGTTGCTGACATACTTCCTCCCTAAACCCTCCATGATCTATTGTATTGTCAATGGAGACTGTGCAAACAAAATGCTGGATGGGCATTGGGAAATGGGTGACAAAGCTGGAAGCACACAACTGTCCATGATGATTGCCCTTACCTGTCAGGTGGTAGGAGGATTCTAAGTACCAGTACCTGGAGGGGTACAATGATTCGGCCATGAACCTGTAGATATTTGTGTTCTTCTGCAAAAATCAAAAGATGGAGTGGAAGGACATCGAGCTTCTTCACTGGTCTTCCAGTGGTCTTTACTAGACGTTGAGAAGCAAGGTAGTATTGGTGTGATACATAAGGTGATCACCCGCCATGTTACACGTGGTGGCTCTGGTGGGGACAAGATCAAGTCCCTGGTGGTGTACGGACCAGGTGCCCCTGACGACACATGAGGCTGGTGGATGAAGACACCTTCCACCGGGAAGAAGCCAGGTGATCTCTTGCAAGCAGAACAAGTGTGCTCCAGTGTAGGCAGAGGAATGTAGCTCAGACAGCTCCCCCCAGGGAGGTTAGAGGGTAGACAATCGCTCTCTAGTATCACCACTAAACTATAACAGGGTGTGTGGTGTCCCCTGTACTCATTACATTGCCAGAGCCCCTGCGCAGATGATGTTGGCTTAACACTTAGAAAAGACCCCAGTGGCCACCTACTCAAGAGGGACTTTTACTTCTGGACTATTGTATGCCTCCACTGAACGGTGGCATCCAACTGAGTGGGGGATTTCCCAGCTTACCGAGTCATTTCTGAGGACTTCTTATCACGTACCTGGTAGAGAACCGAGTGGATGAGGAGGCCTCCTTTGCAACTCTTGTCCCGCACCCCTGAGAGTGGGACTTAGAGGACAGAGAGCAGCACCGGTGCCAGAGGGTGCAGGGTACTGTGCCTGGGTAAGTCCCGAAGCTGGTCTCCAAGGAAGCAGGAGTAGATGCAGCTGGAATGATCACCAGGAACACGGTTGGAGCAGGACGGAGTCAGGCAGGCCAGGGTTAACACCGATCGGGCAGCGAAGTACAGAAGCAGCAGGCAGAAGAGTAGTCTAGGAGCAATCAGAGGTCAGGGGCGGGCAGCAGTCAGGCGTAGTCTAGGAGATCCGGGTCAAAGCAGCAGAGCACTGGAACAGGGAGAGGCACAGGAACACACACAGGAGCTGAAAGACCATTCAGCAATGATCCATAAGACAGGCAAGTTTAAATAGGACCATCTATTCAGGGAAGCTGCGTCACTCCCTGTGCGCCACGTTGGCGCGTCTTCGCGCGCACGTTCCGTTGAGTGTGCATGCGCAATAGCGCATGTTTCCCGCAAATGCGGAAGACAGGCCTATGCACATGCGCAGAAGCACTTGCAAAGCCAGGTATAGTCTTACATTTCTGTCCTTGTTGGAGGGTTTACTTTACTGCCTTGGTGAGGTTGAACTGCTTCTCCTTAAATATAACCCTGACCAGAGCTGGTGGTCACTCGATCCAACAAGAGGGAGTAATAGGTAATAGGACAGCTGATAGTCCATATTCACACTATTGGGAATACTCTAGGCAGTGGTCCTAGCAAGTGACCAAAGACTGTGCCCAGGTAGAACTCAGGTAGAAGTCCCCTTATTTTGCCTCAGGTTTCCCTTTGCTCTTCAGTGCTGTATGTCTGTGTCAGGACCTCCAGCCCAAGGTTACCATACCCTCTATAATACACAAAGGGCTCAGGACATTAGAAGATAAGGTCAAACATGTTTACTCTGCCTGTTTATTTTCGTGCTCTTCATCTACATTTGTGGCTTGGTTGGACAGTCTGTCACTACTGACCTAACCTGTCACGTCCTGTGCAATAGCTGCTAGTCCCATGGTGAGTAGGCATGAGCAAAACCAAATTTTTATTGATATATTTGCCAACAATTGTGATATGTAATTTTGTCAAATGCATTGGAGTCAAGGAGGAGGAGAAATTAAGATATTTTTGGTGTTTTCTTTTAATGGCTCCTGTCCTGGGGGTTCATTTTTTCTAATTTTTTTGTGAATAACTTTTAATAATTAATTATTTTTTATTATCACCCACATTTTTCAACTTTTAACAACAGTATTTTCAGCCTTTTTCAACTAGGTGCCAGAGCACCCTGGGGTGCTGTCTGTCTTTGTCAGGGGTGCCTCTTCGCACAGTATCATGCGTTTCCATGGCGCAGGTGGGCTTATATTGTAAAGCGCTGCGCAAACTGTTGGCGCTCTATAAATCCTGTATAATAATAATAATAATGCGAAAGGGGAGGCTTTGATGTGAAAAGGGGAACCCCATGTCATATTGTCTTTGCATGGAAATCCTCACCCTTTGTCCCTGTTTACTCTCTCTGGCACATCAGGCTCAATTCATAGGTGTAGAACCCCAGCATAAGGACCCTTTAAAAAAAAAAAAAAAAGTGACAGTCATTTTTTGCCAGTCCAAAGAGGTTTGGAAATGACAGTTACATCGATGAAATAAAGATCATTATCCTGGTATAAATCTTAATGAAATGAGCCAGTTGTCTTGTGTATGTTGGGTACAATGTCACTGACTCTCTCCGTCCTCTCTCCACAGCCAAATCTGGTCGTTGTCCATCATCTCAAACAATCAAGTGCATTAGGGCTTCTTATACCTGCAAAAGTGACGATGACTGCTCTGGAAAGCAGAAGTGTTGTGATATCTGTGGCAGGAACTGCTGGAGCCCAGAACCAGGTATCACCGATCACCTTTGCCATTTCATTGTCCTTCCTGCACTCCCTATGAATTGCCACAACACCTTACTCCCTTGCCCCCAGTGCCTGTAACACTTCCACCTCGCAGTGTCTCTGATCCTTAGCCTTTAAAAAGCGGAATATGGACTGGAAGGACATCCAGCTATTTCACCGGTCTTACATCATGGCTTTCCTAGAAGTTGAGAAACAAGGGAGTATTGGTGTGATACAGCCACCTTGTTTACATGTGGTGGCTCTGGTAGGGATAATAACAAGTCCCTTGTGGTGTGCAGACCAGGTTACCCTGATCCTCATGGTTGGTGAATGAAGACACCTTCTACCCCAAAGAGGCCGAGTTTTCTTTTGCAAGCCGAACATGTCTGCTCCTTGTAGGCAGGGGAATGTAGCTCAGTCAACTCCCCCCAGGAAGGTTAGAGGGTAGATAGTCATTCTCATATCGGCACTATACTATAACAGAGTGTGTGGTGCCCCCTGTACTCATTACAGTGCCAGAGCCCCTGTGCAGATGATGTTGGCTTAACCCTTGGAAAAGACCCCAGTGCTCAGGAGGGACTTTACTTCTGGACTCCTGTAGGTCTCCATGTTGGGAATGGTGACACCCAACTGTGTTGAGGATTTACCAGCATTGACAAATCATTCAGAGTCATTTCTGAGGACTTCTGTCCTTGTTGGAGGTTTTACTTTACTGCCTTGGTGTCCCTCCTGTGAGGCTCTCCTGCTTCTCCTTAAATACAACCCTGACCAGAGCTGGTGGTCACTCAAACATGATTACTCACATTAGCCTTCATGACCCGATCACGCAACATGAAGTAATAGGACAGCTGATAGTACCTAGTCATACTATTGGGAATACTGCCCCATGTG